CTGGTCTGCGTGTATGTAAGCGGTCTTCGTTTTTTGGACCGTATAGAGGTGCGTGTTGTTTTTTGGGCTGTTTCTTTGTTCTCTGAGTTCGCTTTGATTGGTCTTTTTCTTGCATCCAACTGTGTCTAGTTCCTTGGACAAACCGTCGCCAGTTTCAGCGTTTGGTATGGCTAAAGAAGCCGTGATTGCATATGTTCTTTCGTATACTGGATTGCCGAATTCGTCGGCTTACTCTCTTCACGTAACTGGTGAGTAATATTCCTTAACTTTTCTACCCCGATTTTTAGCCCTTTTAACTCTCCTTCCATTTTCGTAAATTTATGGACGAGTCCGAAACATGTGCTGCAGATGTCATCGTCGTATGTGACATCCCCCAAGGTCACTTGACTTTTTGCCCGTTTGACGGACATTGGTCTGAGAGCGGAACGTCAAATACTGCAGGGATTAATATCATGTGAAATACATGATCTTTTATTTGTTTTGACAAGGCAGGCGTGAGTCAATGGCCTAGTGGTAATGATGGTTTCTGGCCGATCGACTGCCCGTGTTCGACTCCAGCCTGGAGTGGACCTTTTACACTGCGTTTTGAGGGCTTTTTTCCGAATAACATTATTTACTTGTCAAACTTCAAACGGTTTTCTTGAAGATATGAGACGAATTTTCAACCAGATCAAAGATAAGAGGTAAACGACCCAGTCTTTCGTAGGTTTTGGGAATTTCTCAGTGCTGTCGCAGAGACGCGACTGGACGAAGATAGGTTATCCCGCACAAGTCCTGGTGTAGGTTTTCAAGGATAGATCTGTCGCAAAGACTCATCGGATTCTTAGTACCCACGAACCGTGAGGACGTCCAGTAGATAGAAATCCCGGTAAAACTGCAATACTCCGATGTCGAAAATTTCAGATCAAATTCGAAACGCGCGGTTATATATAGTCCTGCATAATATTTATGAAGCCTAACATTCGAAAGGTTTACCAGTGCTTGTTGCTTAACGGTTTTTAGTGTCTGATCTATCACTTAATAATAAGTAAATGATGAAAATAACAGAAAAGTGGGAGCATTTGTCCTTGTGTCCTGTCTATAAATTCTGCTGTTCTCATTATATTTTCTTGCTTTTTAAGGGTTATATTCCGGTGTTATTCTAGTGGCTACCGTCATCGGAGCCCTTTCGGTACAAGTATCATTAAAAATGGAATGGAAGCCTCCGATTCCGAAAGCGAGCACCAAAAGATCACTATGAAATTCATCCAAGAAAACGTTTTTTGACAATGCCCAACATGGCTTTTGGCGAAGCCATTCCTCTCTAACCAATATGCTCTTTTCAATGGAGCAGTGGTCCCGGTTTTTAAATGAAGACACAAGAGTCGATGTTGTATACATCGACTTCAAGAAAGCCTTGGATAGTGTTTCCCAGCACCGGTCACCTTGCAAGGTTCGGGAGTCTGGGATAAGGGGGACCTACTAAATTGCGTAGAAGACTTCTTGATTGGCCAACCGCGGTCTATATACTCTGGCAGCGCGAAGTCGGTGCCGGCGCCAGTTGTGAGTGAATTATCTCAGGTCTCTGTTTTGGGCCAGAACTGTTTTTAGCTTATATTTACGACTGCAATAACGGACTTAATTGCAACGGTGTTATGTTTGCAAACGACATCAAAATTTGGGGAACGATACAATGCAAGACTGATGAACGGGTTCTGTTAGAAGGACATAAGCGTCTGCGTCAATCGGCCAGTTAATGGTTGAGAAGTGTGTCACACTGCGGCCCAAAACGAAGAAGGAGTGGACAGATGAAGATACCGATCAATACTTCCTTGGCAGATGTATAGAAAATGTAAATGAGCAAAAACATCCTAAGCACCAGCTTGCAACCCTTGTAACTCGTCTCTCAGTGCGGCAGGTCGACTAACAGGACGACCGGTTTTCGCTTTGCCACTAACAAAACTTCCACAGGAAAAAGGGGATGTTTCGAAAAGCATACGTAACCATTATTTGTTTGCAAATGCAAAATGGAATCTAGGCGTGATAGCCCTGGCTAAAAAATATAATTTGCTGTAAAGCGTTTAATGCAGAGCGACCGGAATCGTGAAGGGCCTCAAGACTTTACACCACAAGTGCTAACAAATGAGCGATTAACCTATTTCCGCCTGAGCACAAGCAAACTCGAAAAGATCTCATATAGACCTATCAAAGTGTGAGGTTCGGGGCTATTTCCTGCACTTCAATTATTTCTTCGCACTGTCCACAGCAAGAAACCTGAGTGGAGACTATGCCAAACTTCCAGAAGCCCGACCCCACACTGATGATCGTAGGTACTCTTTGTCACAGAGAGTTGTAGGTGCCTGAGGTGGGCTTCCCAAAATCGAAAGAGACGTTCGAACATGCATTGGATATGCATTTGCCTGAAAAATACCGCTCGGATGAACAGGACAGCTCAGTTATATGAAATCAACATTCTGCGTATACCATCCGCTAACGTGGATAGCTGTTATTTTATATTCTACGTCATCTTCAGTACCTGATGGTGTCCGAGTTTCAGTCTCACCCATTGCAGTAATCTTTTGTAAAGTTATTATGTTACTGACAGCTTGGTACCAACGTGTTTATGCTCACATGAATACTGTATGGATCTTTTTAATGCGGTCCTCGAGGATATTGCCATTACCCCTAAATATAATAAACTATATTGAGTAATCAATTACTGGTCTGGAAACTCTGTCACTCCTATCGGGTGGATACCGCTGCAGAAACGCTCGCTAGCTGTTTTTTAAGGTCTGTAAACAGGTTCGCTCATTCATAATAGATCGTCCATATACAGCGCAAAGTCTTCGTGTAATTTATAAAGCGTTTTTTTTTCATTCGAACTGGCTTGGTTCCCAAAATCGCACGTAACAGTCAGGTGTCAAAAATGATTTCAAACCGGACGATCAGGCTTATTAGCTCTAGTTCTAATCCATACCCAGAGTAATCTGGTGAGATACATCTACTGGAACAATAGCGTCGGCGAACGGATGTAGACATTGTAGAGACAAAAACAGTCAGATAGGCAGATGGCGCTGAGAACGAGGATCTTTTTCGATTCGGTCATGTGATTCATCTCAGATCCAGTCGAAAAGCTGTCCAGGCACCGAGTGAGTCCGTATGTCCATTAACTAAGTGTTTCGAAGCGTGTCACCAATCGAAGAATTAGACATACTCGAATGGACATGGCTCATAATGACAGATCATTGCACCATTTTGGGCGATACTCTTTCTTTGGGGCCGACATCCACGGTTGCCTGATTGCATGTCAAGGGCAGATCCTTTTTCCGCATATGCCCCTTTCTGTGTAACGCTTGCGGATTTTAATGAACGATATATCATTATGTCTTTGACCTTTCCCACTTTTTTCTGCTCTGTTTCGTCTCTTTCCCCAATAACACAGTTTCCTCTGTTTGTTGTCGACTCCCTTCCCAAGCTTCGATACCTGAATATTTTTTTAGAAATAGCTCAGTGGTTTTTCCTTCCACAAGCAGATCAGTCCACAACTCCTTTCCTTACTGATTCCACAGGTATCTATATTAGGTTAGGTTTCGTGCAAATCCTCGAAAAAGACGAAATGCTCAAAACGGTCAAACTATCCGAAAAAAACCTTTTCTTTTTCTTTCACTGGATGACCGGTTGCGTATGAATCTTGTTTTGCTTTTTTTCATTCAGACAGGAGAAGGAAAAGAACTTACCTGTCGCCCAAATACTGTTTTCGTGTTAACATTGTGTTACAACTTTGTCCTCAGTTTTTTTCTGGACGGGTTATCAAACTACTGATTGTGTATTATACTCTGTGGGCCGATGCTTCTGGTATGTTTAAATCTGCTAGCATACAAGGTAATTTTTTGAAGTGTTTTTTCGTGCGCGGTTGTAGCTGGTTCATCCGTTGCTTTTTCCTCTGACGATTATCTCCGACCATTATATAAGCGAGATTTAGCTGCATACCATAAGCCTACCTCTGTCCCGTTATTTTCCGCCAATTGTCAAAGCTCGCAACACTTTCTTTCTCATAGCCTTCCTGTAGGACATGTCCGATTTAAACTAAACATCTTTCCGTCGCCGCTTTTGCCGCTCAAGATATAAGGGAGTTAGGCGTCTTTCAGCTCCTGGGTCTTCCGATAAGATGCCCCTTATAACACCCTGCCAACTAGCTGGGTATAACTAACTTAGTAGCTCCGTCTCTGTTGCGAGCCTATGGCTAATTACCTAAAATGACCTACGTGGCGCAACCTGGCCGAGTAACTGAATTTTACTGCTGCATCTGCCGTCTATCTAACTGCGAAATTCGACAACCCGCACGCAGGGTTCCTAAAGCTGTATTCCCTTCGAGGAATCTTCGACATGCATAATTGATATGGACGCCCCAAATACTCCGAAGCCTACCACACTCGGCAAATTCTCTAAACAGACCGTAGAGCGCCGGCGCAGCTTGCCAACACATTTGGCCTTGCTCGACACGCAGGGCAAGATCGGTTCACTCTATGCTTACTTGAGGCCTCTGACGCTGTTCATGAGAACGAACCAATGGGCAGACCATGCTTAACGAGCACATAAATGGCCTTGACCTATAATAAGGGTGTCGATGGAATTTAGCAATACACGATAACAATTTCATCGAGGTTCCCTTCCTATAATTAAGTTACCCAGATATAGGCTCTTAGCATCTAAATCTACTTAGGAGACAAGCTTACCAGCCGCATGAAGTAAAAGCCCGCTGTTCTTCCTATTACCTAGATTAACTATCAGCAACTTTTCGACGGTTGCTACTCCAATTTCTTCCAAGACATCCTATTTGTTTTTCTCGAAACATTCTTTTCCAAACAGTGTTCCTATAAGCCGACTATTGATTAACTTCCGACTATATATCCTCTTCCCGACTTAAATTTCAGTTCATGACGCCTTAACGATGAGGATTCAGTGTTGCTCCGCTGTAATCTCTTGATACTGAGGATGATTTCATCACTTAATTTCCAAAAATGACGAGCAAAATCGCCACTGTCGCAAACCTGGCATTTCATGTCTTCCGTGCACATTCACTTCGTTCCATGGCCAGACGTACAGATGTGTCTTCAGAAAATAATAACAACAACGGCGTCCGACGATTGTGCGCCTCTTCACCTGCCAACACTAGTGAATCCGAATCTCTCGACGAGATTTCATCAGATGCCCTCAAAACCCTACTTACTAATGTGAACGCCTTGACCTTAGAGGATGTAGGAGTTGATCGCGTGCATGGATTTGACTCCTCATCCTTTGCCGCTCCCGTGATTTATGTTCACATAACTGAAAATGAGATTTTCTCAATGGGCATGTTTGTTCTGCGACCGGGTTCACGTATTCCCCTGCACAGTCATCCGGGAATGTTTGGCATCATTCGGGTAATGCAGGGCGCTGTACGTTGTCAGAGTTTTACGCGCCTGAGCACTTCTCAACTGAGGGCGGTTGGTGGTCCTTTGACAGTCCTTTTGGCCCAGGGTGCCGCCAAATGGCAGCTTTCTGACTTCACGGTTGCCCAACCGCACCAGGACACCTTACTCAACGTAGGCTGCGAACCCTGTGTCCTCACGCCGCACGCTGGCAACCTTCATGAATTGACAGCTGTCGACGGCACAGTTGTCTTTCTCGACATTCTTGCGCCACCATACAACCACGATTTAGGCGCGAGGGAATGTCTTTTCTACCGAGAGGTTGCCATGCCGATGGTGACGGCTGACCCGGCCACATCCTCTTTTGTTTACCTAGTCGAGACTCACCAACCGAAAGATTACTGGTGCGAGACCGCACCCTACCGCGGACCCAGCGTTTCGTAATGTGACGGCGTTTGGTCCTCAAGTGACATGCACCCTACCCATCGCCACCTGCTGACCAACTAGTGACTTGAGATTTTTTATTTCCGCTTTCCCTACAACGTTCACTATAATTTGCATCATTGTCAAATAAATTTTAACACTTCACTTCTCTCTGACGTTCGCGTGCTTTTAACAAATGGTTTAACGAAGCAGGGCAACTTTTACATGGAACTTTGGGTCGGAATTTGTTTTTTTGCTATCGTCTGCTACTTATGAGAAAGGTGTTCGGGTTCTCAAGTTCGGTTAATTAGACGTGTGCATTTGTAAGACGGTCATAATAGCTGTTTCCTTCCTGTCATAATGATTTGCCAAGCCTTCTGGTTATCCATTCTGCAATGAAAATTCTTTCATGTTCCAAATAGCGTCGGTCCTAACTATGTTCTGTCTTGGGTTATACCGTCTGTCTTTTGCCCGCTTCGGCTGTCGCATAGCGACGGATAATCAGTAGCATAATTGTATGACCCACAAAGACGGGAACAACGGAATGGTCATGTGTGACTTATTTCCCGTCAACAGACAACGGCAATGAGAGACAGCAGCATTGCCTGTTCACCAGACTCGGAATCAGACCTTTTGTCAGCTCCCGGTGCTGGGCCATCACTTGCTGTCCACGGCTATTAAGTCAGGACCGTTGTTCCGATGGCTGTGTCTTTATTGATAACGCTTCTCTGTTACTCTTTGTGAGTCTTCTGTGTAGATTGTAGACCCTCAGTCCCCTGCCGGTGCATACCACTCGCGTGTAACCAAATGCCCTCATCCACCAGCAATGCGGCGTGGCCCGTAGCACAGCGATAAGACTGTGCTTAGTAATAAACTTATTTGGGTTAAAACCTTGTATGCACGTACCGACGGTTGGGTTATCACAGATTGAGGACCGCAACTGGGTCTGAGATGATCAATTCAATGCCTTCGTCTCAACCACCTCCCGATCATTCAATAGTCGCCATGAGGTCGCCTGTTTAGACTGCAGGCCATAAGCTTCAGGGCAAAATAGACTGGCGCATGCCCCTCGCATGCAAATTTATTATTATTGTATAGAAAAATATTGGCAAGTTAACTAGGCAATTTCATTCTCGGTGGTTTCTGTAGGTAGCTGTCAGTCTGCAGCAGAGGACCGTCGGCGCCACATTTTTTGACCATATCAGTAAGCACTGCGAACCTACTATCATTGTTTTTCATCTGAGAGCGCCGAGTGAGATTTTAGTTAACGCTTCATCAACTCTGCCACTTAATTTGCACGAATACTGCCAGCGACACCAATTTGTGCATTTTCTACTGATGATCCCACCAGGTAATTTCGTAGACGAGGCAGATTGTTGCAGTGTGCATAGTATTGTTTTTTGACAGACGCGGTTGATCCTTGTGCTCAATGAACAAACATCGTCGTCATAATGCCGCCGTGACTTATGACTTATAGTGAGGCGATTTTCCGAATCGCTGCCCAACAGCCTGGTAGCGCTGTCGCTGCATGGCCCAGGACTGTTTATTTGTCAGGTCATGTAACCTGTATTTCACAGGCAGCTTTCGCTACTATCCGCCATCTGTTGACGTGCCGGATAGACCTCTGCTTGGCTGTTAGGTAAACCCAGCCATCCTGATACACCATATGATGACCTAAGTGGATGCTTTCTGTAGCTTGATTCTTAGTACTCCTGATACCTGCCTGAAGAAGCAGGTACTCTGCTTCTTGTACTTGTAAATGGGACCGACCCACTTGTTAGGCCCACTGTTAAAGCTCATTTCTGGGGTTTCCAGGTGAACGATTGCGCTCTTTTTACTAACAGAACTGAGGTTAGTCTTATGGGCGAAAGCCAACATCACTGCTGTTGGAATCTCTCATGGAATCCATACGTATACTGTGGCAGGTGACTTGGTCTACACCCTGGATCCTTTAAGTCAGATTAACGCCAGAAAAGATGTGGATGTGAGCAAAGAAACTCGTCAGTGTCAGATCGGGAACTGTGTCTCGATGCTAGGCTAGGGAAAAATTCCTGACCCTTCGCCCAAAAGGAGTGCCTTCCGCCTGATTTAGTATGGTTGATATCGCATAAAGCATTTCTGCCTCGCATGAAATGTGTATGACTACTTGATTTTTACCGTAGGACTGCACTGTATACCAGTAGCAGAAAAAAGTTTATACAGCTAGCCTCAGTGTGTCAGATAGGCCCTGCGCCCCAAACTATTCGCCGCAAAATGTAGTCACGTCTTTATGAATCGATGTCGAGTATTCTTTCCTCATCAGTGACTTTATGCGAAGCCTTGTCACATTTGTAAGGGAGTGTTTGATAGTATAATTTACTTAGGGAAAATTGTACTGTAAAAGTCGACTATGTTCTGTTGGTTTTTGAACCAGCAGCCCCGGATATCCGACAGATGAACATGTGGGAATTGACTGTCATCGTGTAGCGAGCACCTAACAAGCATTATCGTAACATGTGATTTATCATATCAGCTGTCAACAGCAAGTGTTTAGACAAGGCGCCTTTCTGTTTTGTTGAGAACGAGTTAACTTAAAAGGAGTCTGTCACGAAACAACGTGGTCCAGGGCTTGTCGAGAGGAAGGGAAGGTTTTTCGGTGTCCCGTTCAGGCTTCTTAACTTCCTATTCAGAACCACATGACTATCTAGGCAGTAAGTAGACGTCTTTGGAAGACAGGCGGGGTCTCAGCTAATCAGGGGTCAAACCGTTGTCCTGTACATCCTCAAAAGCTTAATTCAGTGGTTTACCTTGAAATGTGCTTTGTTTATTTTTCGCCATTACTGCGCGGATCATGAAACTCATTAAAATTATGCATGACCCATATGGCTGGCAAAATCGGTATTTTGCCTAAAACACCACATGCGGATAACTTAAGGGACTAAATGGGGATCCCGGGTAATCCTTGCCACTAAAATCTCTTATAAAATGCCATGCGCCAAGAAATACCGACAACATAAATCTGAAAATGCTCTTCGACAATGCTACTCGGCCGACTACACAGTCTTCTGATTCAGCCTTTGAAGACCAAAACCACACCCTCAGAGTGGAATAAGACTTTCTGATTACGATCCTGAGGAAAGGGGATTGACGTTCGTGTTGTGCCTACTGCGACATCAGTATCGTCAGCAATGCGCATGGTTTTTAGTTATTTCGCCTGCGGCGCTATCAGTAGACAATTAAATCGCCATTCCTCACCTCATCTAACCGTTGAATGCGACCTGCTGTCGTCCCTCTCGTGAACTTTGTTACTGCAATGGGTCATATCAGCCAACACGTCACCGAAGTTCCAGCTTCGTGTGGTGACCTACCACCGCAGAGCGCTGACCGAAGTCTGAGTATATACTTAACTAACGAAATAATTTCTCTGGTGTCACCTCCGGCAGACCATCAACGCTCCAATCAGCTTGAATATGCTAGTGACTTTTCAGAACGAGTTCCTTCGTGAGCATCCAATAGCTGGGCACCAACTAAGTGATGCGAGGGCAGTCGAGGTTGCCGAAAGACTAGGCCGTCCGAGGTAGATGAGATTTTCTGGCTTCGTGCTTTTAGATATCCTCCTAATTACGGGTGGCCTCCGCGACCATGGGTCGCCTCTTCTACCTGCGGGAACAAAACAAAATATTTGACTTGTCAAGTTCTGGTTACCTTTGTCTATTTAGCATCCGGAAAACGAGACCGAGGGATTTTAGACTCCTTTCAGCACACACTGAACGGTCGGTGTCTTTTATTCTTCAAATATGCTCATTTATGGAAGGATGAACATCACGAACAGGCGCGAAAATGGTATTCACCGTTTTTTTGCACAAGAGAGGATGAGGAGACCACCGATACAGACATTATATCCAGAAGCAACGAAGAAACAGGACAGACGCAAAGTTTTTTACACTGTATTATCCCCACAACCAAAGATAAACTCTCGGGTTCGGGATCGGAAGGACCTCGTGGGTATTAAAGCAGCGAGTAGTGGCTTATGAACTTATGAATCCAGACAAAAGTTGTCGGTGCCAAATTGACAGTTATAGTAAGGGACTACCCAATCACTCCTGACCTGCTATCTAATTCATCCGGCATAAACGGCATTGTCTTTGTCGGGCTGTAACTGTGTGGTTGCTGTTACGATGTACTCTGGAATGTTCAGTCCTAGTCTCGAAAGTACGTTAATCTTCGGGGCAGGTTGGGTTGTTGTGAGCTGTGGTGGCACTAGCCCGAAAGACAGTTTTGTCACCGTTGAGGCAGATTCCCAACCTTGGTGATTTGGACTCTCCGCGAGCGATCACAGTGCAGGAAAGCAGGAGAGGTTAGTTGGCGTTGGTTTTGCGTCTCGGCATCCGTCCCACACTTTTGGTCTTTTCTTACCGAAAATTTTAAGGTAGCTACAAAGGTGGCCAACAAGGCTAATGCAGAATCTGGAGGAGCATTAGCAGATGTCGTCTGCCTTCGTGGCTTGGAATCCGAACCATGAACTGCACTTAGTGGCCGCAGCCATGTTGTAAGTAATATTCGGATCCATGCAGCTGCATATGTACTTTATGTTTAATTGTGCAGCAGTCTTGTTTTCACGCACACAGTAAGAAGATTAATGGACGTCTACATCGTGTACTAAAGCTTATGGAACACTGAGAACACCGAGTGACGAGACACCGATTAGATGCGACCTGCCTTTTGGCTGAGGTGTGTCCGTGAGTGTTGGATGATGTACTGTGCCCGATGCACTAGACCAAGTACAGGACTAGATCAGTGTCCAGCAGGCATTACCGGAAATGCGCACCCATAACAGATGCGCACATTGAGAGTGGATAGGCACACGCAGGTGCAGGCCCACGTCATGCCAGTTGGGATCTTAGCCGCCCCCAACGATTTTCATTTTGAATAAAATGCTGGCCAGTGTACATTGTGGACCAGGGAGTGTGGTGGTACGCCTGGATGCGGGCTTTCGATGTGCCAACCATCCGCACTCTCTTCCGCATCCGGTCTCCTTGACT